GAAGCCTCTTTCATTCTTATCAATGTCTTTTTAGTCCTTAGTCTTTTTTAAGTCTTTTTAATCTTTTTGTCTTTAGTAATAGCCATTCTAGTTTAATATTATATCATCTTTGAATGTTTCTTCAATCTTTTCAAGTGATACAAGAGTGTATTGATCTTTCAATTCTCTAAGATTCATGTCTTTGATATAAATTAACTTTAACATCACTAAAATATTAATATTTAATCTTTATTATATTTTATTTTAAATAAAATAAAAAATATTATTTTTATATTTTTAATTAAAATTCTTCAAGAAAAAATAAATTAATATACAATAACATGAAAAGGCTTAAGAATTAATTAATTCATAAAAAATATTCTTACTTATTTTTTAAAAAATCTAAGTTTTTTATGTGTTTATTTAAATTAAGTTATTTTTATAAAATTAGATAGTAACTAATTTATCTTTAGCTTATTAATAATTCAAATTCAAAATTTTTAATTATCTAAGTACAAGATGATTCTTAGTTTTTTATAAATACTTAATAAAATAGTATAATTATTTCTTTTCAAATAATTAATATAACAACAATTGAATATATATATACATATATATATATATATATATATATATATACTTAATTATCAATAAAGATATCTTGTAGCTAGATTTAATATATTTTTATTAAATAATGATAAATATTTTAAATTATATTTAAAATATTTAAAAAATAATACTTTGATTATAATTTTAAATATTTTTTATGAATCAAATCCAATTAATATTTATACAATATCAAATGTGCTATAATCAAAATCTATTTATTATACTAAGAGTGTTTATAATTGTTTTCAAATTTATTTCAACATAATATCATTAATATTTATAATGGCATGGCTTAACTTCAAATAGATAAAATTGTGTATATTTTTAAATTTTTATGTTATTTTAAATTATTTTTAATAAAATTTATTATTTATTTTTGCCACAAAATAGTAAAAATTCTACAACCATGAGTATTGAGTGATGAATAAAATATTAATACATGCATCTCTATGGAATTTGCTTAGTAAAATTAATCCTTAGAGTATGAATTATAGTTTAATATATAACTATTAATATAAAGTTTTAATACACAGATTTACTACAAAAGTGTATACTTTGTAGGTAAAGATTCTTTAAAGATACTAGAAAATAAGATTTAATAGAATTTATTTTGAAATCTCTTTTAAGACTAGAAAATTATTATAATCTGACTATGCACATGTATTCCACATATAATATTATTAGTTAACTTGCTAGAATTGCTTGAGTTTTGAGATAGTATATATATTTATATATATTTGAACATGATTTAATGTATTACAATTGTATATAAATATATATAGAAACTTTGATGTTTTTTATTTTTTATTTTCTGCACAATTGTGTTTTTACTTATTCATAATTATACATTAAGGTGTATCAATAAAAACATTATATCTATCAGTTGTTATAAGATTCTAAAAATATGAGTGCCAAACCTCTTCTTCTTTTTTACTATGTTTTAATTAAATAAATCATAATTGTAGATGTAAGGTTAATAACACACATCTGAATTCTACAAGCATTGTTTTTTGTCATAAAAAGTATTGTATGTAAGATGTCACTCTTCACCTGTACAATATTGCACCAGCATTCACCAATTTGCCATTATATCCCTAAATGATTGGTACCTACACTAATAAGTTCATTCCCCATAATTCAATGATTAGCTTGTGTGTGTGCTTTGTAACAAGTCCAAAGCAATTGCACATGGAATTGCTTCTCAAAGTTGCCTTTGCAAAGTCCACTCTTTACAAACCAAGATAAATTTATTAAAATACATCTCATTGGATCTCCTATTCCAGTGATGAGATTCAAAAGCATGCTTAGGGTACCTTTTTGTAATGAATTAGAGCATGTGTTTATATTGCCAAATAAAGAAATGTAATGTGGCATCAATTGGGTTCACCCAATAGTTGTAGAGGAAGTGTCCTTTTTGTCCCTTTTTAATGAATTTGTTTTGTGGGTGCCAGGTTGTCATGGAGCTCTTTCCATCTGGAATCTCAGTTCTGGGTCCTTGTGTGCTATGGTGTTTTGCGGTGTAATTTGTTCATTTTCGTCTCAAAAAAAACACTAATCTCTTGTCAAATCTGTGAGGTGAATAAAATATGCATAAAACCAACCAACCGCTTCAAATAAGTTAATTTCAATCAATCATTAGTATTTACTTCCTTATTGTTCTTTTCATGACTAGTTGCAAAATGATAAGCTTACTGTGCTAAATGCATGGCAGCAGATTGTGAAACCATGTTGTTTGACATGATCCATCAAAATGGAACCCTAATGATTTATCTAAAAAATATTGCATAGTTCAAGTTTGTTGGATACTTGTCTTAAAACATGGAACAGAAGTAAAAAATCTCCCAAAACTTTATTGAAAGAATAATAAGATTCATGATTTGGTATTAGTAACTTATCAAATTGCTTATCTTGTGTTGCATTGCAAAAAAAGTAATAAGATGCATTCCATCCATTCACCTGTATTCACAGTCATTCACAGTCATGTTTTTTATATATAGATTAGGTACCAAAATGGCAATGAGTTTGGTGTCCTTACCCAGCCATTGCCACTAAAACCATCCAGAAAAGACCCTGTGGTTATTGCATTAACTCTTGAATATCCACTAATGGAAAGCCAAGTTTCATGGCATTCTCTTTTGGCATGGGTCCCCCCCCTTCAAACCCTAACTGTTTTAACGCTTTCCCCCATGATTTTGTGCCTGGAAGCATGGATGCAAGACTAGTACAGAAGTGGCTAAATTCCATCAATACTATGCAAACCAGCCATATCCAGTTGTCGCCTTAAATATAAGGGGCTTCTGTAGTGGTATTTGTTGGGTGTCGAAATGGATGAATGAGAGTTCATGGACAAAACAACTGGTTTGGGCTGTGGATGGGAAGCTAAAAACAATTGCCATTGCAAATCAGTGATACATATGGAAAAAGACGAGAAAGAAGAACAAAAATAAGAAGAAGAAGGAGAGGGTTTCATTTGTACACAGTCACTTTTTTAAAGAAGAAAAGGCTCATCATCCAAGCCAGGGTCCAACACAAAAATTATCATAGTAAAAAAGCAGTTTCTCAGATTAGTTTAATATTTGTAATGCATGCAACTATCATTTCGCTACACGAAACATTTACAAGGTCTGAGAAAAAAAAATTGGGATATATATATATATATATATATGTAAAGCCACTTGTTCATTATTATTTTGCGTCAACTTACACAATTACAAAATGGACATGTATTGAAAATCAAGACAGACTGAAAAAAGGATCGATTTTGTTACACCCTAATTTGCATGTAGGTTGTCACTGGAACACACAATAAACACAATGGTGCTTAAATATCACGTACTCACCCAATAATGTAGAAAACTCGTGAATTGTATTATTATTATTATAAGGATGTGGTACGAAGTAATAAACCTCCGGAAATTGCACAGAGGAATCAACTTATCGTGAGTGATTTACTGCTAAATACAGCATAGAAAAACTTTATTCTTAGTGGTTGAATCTGAGGGAGCGCCGATATCGAGGAAGTGTCGTGCAGGGACGATTGTCGACCGCCTTTTTCAGTTACCGGAGTGGAGTGGCGGGATATGGAAGCGCCGCCGTCGTCGATTTCCCGCGAGGCTTCGAATCCCGCCGGCGGCTGGCTGAGGGTGGCCGAGGGAGGCGTTGTCGTTGGATGGAGTGATGGATGGATGCTTGCGACTTTTATAGATTTAAGTAGCTGTGTATGTATGCGCACACATACACCGAAGTCATATATGATTTAAAATATTAGTATGATTTATTTATTTTTCCTTGAATGCTGGTTGAAATCTTAATACCGAGTGATTGATTTGAACCACTGGTTTAATCAGTAAGGTTGTTCACCTTGGAGTCTTGTGTATGGGGAGACAACAGAAAGAATTGGAGCATCGTGGAATTTTGTAGAGATGTTTGGACCAACAGAAACCAAGGGAATCAATTAGTGTATATCCTCAACAACAATTTGGTTCATTCTTAGGTGGCGTGGTCGAGGAACCAGCTGGTAATGAGATGTGGATCTTGTGGTTCCAGAGGAAACTGGGTTCCTGCAAGCTAACCCACCCTGCAGCAAGATGGTTAACTTCAAAATGTATGGAAATAGATTGCCACATTTGTTGAGGCTCCATTAGGTTTAGTCTTAGACATAATGGAAATAGTTCAATCAGGGACCTCAACAATTTCCCTTCAGAACCTTGTATTTCCTACCAGGCAATCAATCAATCAATCAATCTTTCAAGCTTGTTCGATTGCCCACGAGGTTAGGAATCTCACGAGTGCTAATTCAGTATAGACCAAATTTGGAGAAATTGTCATATAATATATTGTCACACAACAAGTGGACGGAGAAGGTGAAAGATAGACGAGGAGATGAAGACGGCCAAAAACTTCATTGTTCTACGGAATCTCCACATTTAAACCCTTTTCACTGTAACCAATGCTAATGAAAACGACGGTAACTCAGATGGCTGTGGTAATAGTGTTGTTCCTTGGCTGGAGCCTATTCACTCTCGACCCATCATGAAAATATATTTGTGATTGCCAATTTGGATATGAATATCTTGCATTTTGCCTATTTATTGCAGAGCATGAGTCATCGAAGTAATCAAGTGGGTTTTTCCTGGCAATGCAGAAGAAAGATCAGAAGGCAACCAGGGAATCCAATGCTCGGAGGCTCTGTCTTTTATCTCTTCTTCGAATACGAGGGAAATCGTTACCCAACGCGAAGAGGAAGATTAGTATACCAGTCGCCGACCGCGGTGATGGTTCCATGCGCGCTGGCAGCAGCGACCACTCGTGCGGTCGTTCACCGATTGATAGTCAAACTTTGGCTGTAAAAAGAGGCGGGAACTGCCCTCCCGCTAAATTCAAATAGTCTCCCGCCCCCGCCATCTCGACGATGCGCATGTTCTCACCTCAGAATCGTCGTCGTCTACATTGTTTCAAGTTTTAATGACCTCCTTCCGTGATGCTGCATCGATACAGCCTGGCCCTGGAAGGAGCGCTATTGTTAGTGCGCGTGTATGTGTGTTAGTGTTGGAGTTCAATCCCACCTCTCGTCCCCTGCGTCCTGATCTGGAGCTTCTCTGGCACCTCAGGTAGTCTTCGGTGTCTTGTTTAGGTTTGGCAGAGTGCCAGCTTTCGGGAATGAAGTCGCTAGTGGTAACCCGAGGCCGCTGGAGCAGCGCTGCATCAGGGAAACTTGCCCATTAGTGCAGTGAATTATAGCTCGGAGGAAACGTGCCACAGCCGGAGTGTAGGGAATTTTTTGGTGCTCTTACTAGTGATTCTCACAAGCTATTGTGTGGTTGCATGTTTGAGGAGAGGAAGCGTCGCGGGACATTGGGGTTTCTGGTAGGATTTTTGGAAGCGTACTTCTGGGGTTGAGAAGTGTGACTGTGGCGCAGTTCTTTGCGTGGGCTATTTTTGTTTTCCGGTTGGCCAGGGTTAACTCTGTTCGGTCGGAGGTTGTGGTATCCTGTGAGCTTAGCTTACGCACAGTGCAGCGCAGCAGTCATTTGGCCGATGTGCCTTGACCACTTGAAAGGGTTCAAAGTTTTGTGATAGCAGCAAGAGTTTCCGCTCAATTGAAGGCTGTGACCCTGCGTTGGTTAGTGATTCAATTCTTCCCTCCAGTTTGCATAGCATCCTTTGCCCACAGCCTCGTTTCTTCCGAGTTCGCGGCTACACTATCTCATCACGAATTGCGATCACTGTTGAGGAATAGGTGACGACGGTGTCACTTTGTTAGTGAAGGAGATAAACCGATGGAATAAAGTATGCAGTAGAATGTGGGCTAATACATTGTCACAAGCGTCGTCATTGTGCGTGCGAAGCTGCTGAAGCTAAATAATAGCCATATACGATGCCTCGACCGAGGAGGAGAGGTGAAACATGTAGAGTTGTTTGCGAACAACCTGATGCTGTAACCTATGTTGAGCGTCAAAGTTGCGACTCTCCTAGGAGTTCTGTAGCAATTACCATTGCTGTGGAGGACCGAGTTGATTCTTCTTGTGTATCTTCACCTTATCGAAGAGTTCCGGAACCGACCCGCGGCTCCTCGCAGATGTCTTCGAGGTGGGATACTCATTTGAATAGCCCGTTTAACATGGATGAGACTCAGTTGGCAGGCTTGAAACGATTTTCGTCATGATTCTTGTTTTGTGCTGTTTGGATAAATTTAAAATCTTATGAACTTCATTCTGTACTGCTGTTATAGAGTTACAGAGAGTCTTCTACCTCCTTTGATCTCTACATTCCCCGCTTAGCTCGGGTTACCTACATCTATGAGTGTTCAAAACTCGCTTCTGACTCATGGGATTTGTTTGTTTCGCAGTGGACGTGCACTGAGGGCCGACGACGTGGTAATGACTGAAATTAGGCTAAACCCTGTGAATGAACCGGTGATCCATGGTTTAGAACTAAGTATGGATAATCACACACATGTGCATCGGCGGCGAAAGTATCTGAGGCCAGGACAGCTTGCACAATTAGTGGATGAACATAAGAAATCTCGTATCTCCAATGGAGCATTAGGAAAGAAGAGAATATTTGAGAACAACTTCACAAGAAGCCGGCCTCTTTCCGCAGAAGTTGGAGATATATCCGCACCGAACTTGGCTTCATCATTATCAAGGTCTCCTGTTTCGACGGTACAAGTTTTTGGACCCACATTTCCTCAGAGGAAGAAGTTAGTAGCGCCTAGGACTCCCCTAACTCCCGCATCCCAGCTGACCGTGGTGCGAGATTCCATGCGTGAAGTGGACTTCTCATCTCAACCTGAATCATCTTTGGAAAGCTTGCCGGTCGAGCTGCTGGTACAGACCGTGCCTTCACTCGACTTGCCCTGGTGGCGTCATTAGTTTGTCTCACTGCTTTTAAAGACTACAAGCGCCGTAGAGCGTTCTTTGATGATTCTGACAACATTAACTGTAACATTGAGCAGGTACACATTGTTTGTAGACTGCACCACGATCAGCTTAAACCCGTCTTCCACGTTTGTCGGTCATTGCAAGAAGCGGTGAGTTCAGGCACTCTCGAAAATGCGTGTTCACTGGCAGCTTCCTAATCTAAGGTTTTTTCAGAGAGTCTATTGCTGAGGGTAGATTGCTCTAGTACGCAGTCTTCCTTCATCTGTCTTGCTGATTTGTAGTTTCTTGTTCAACGTGCAGGTTAACATTGCTAGAGAAATGCATTTTAATTTCACCACTCCCGATTATGAGAGGCAGAAAACTATAGGCTTATACACTCCTAAACGCCACCGAGATATATATCGGAAGTAAGCTACACATACTTTGAAACCTGGTTGTCGTTGCCAGTGACAAGGAATGGACTGTATCTCGCACATCTCGTTTATGAGTTGTAGTGGAGATTGCGTGTTTTGTGGATACTTACGGTTTTCTATGTGTGCAGTGTTAGTGAAGCACCTGGAGGTGTGTTGGATGTGCGACCTCCAACACCCCAGGCCCCAAGACATGCACCGAAGCCAGCTTATGCACGGATTCCTTTGGCTGAAATGAATGCAGTCGTTGCTCCATTGTTTCAAGGACCTAGTGATACTCCTCACAGGCCTGCTGGTCTTCCTCGCCTAGCATTTAAGGCGGTTGCATCACATCGAGTTCTCTTCAACGAAGAAGAGTTTCTTCAAGGTGGAACTCTTGCGGCTTGAGATTTGAATTAACACAGTTTAAGCTTGTACGATTTTCGAGTATCTTATCACATGATGGACGATGATGTCATGCCATGCATGTGCCTCATCGGTACCTTGTAGATCATATGTTGATTAACATGAGTCTTCAAACCAACGCCCGTCACTTCTCTGTCCTGGAAAAGACCATAGATGAATTGGGTACGGTGAGGCTGAGATATGGCAACATTCCGGTAACTTATAACAATTTTAAATGTGGAGAAAATAGGTGAAGCTGAATGCTTAGCGGCTTCCGTGATGTAACATATTTCTTACAAAACATTTCCATTTAGTGGACGAAACGCTCCAGTCCTCGGCATTTTCTTTTGTTTTTCCTTTTAACTTTTTTGTTATCAATTTGGTTGATTTGTGAAATGTGTGATCTTCTCGTACCACTATCGATACTCAGAATAACTAAGGCACTTTACTGTGCATGTTGCGTTGCTTGTATATCGTAGAAACTTTCGGAAGAGATTAGAGCATTTAGGCGGTAAGGTCCACTTAGTTATCTCTAGTTTGCTACGTTGACTTTATCTCTCGATTGCTACGTTGACTCTATCCGAGGTGGAGATTGTTGTTCACCATCCGAAGAGTAGAAAAGTGGATGATCTACTTACCAAATAAATTTCCAACTGAGGGATTCAAGGTAAAGTAGCATTTCATTGAAACTATCCTCTTGAAATTAGCTTGAAATCTTCAAATCAAAGATATAATCTTAAATTTTACATCTCCATCATGTTTGATGTTTAGACGTATACTTTTATCATTTGATAGTATTGTTAGAAAATTATTCTCTTTAATAATGCATATATTAATTTAAATCTCCAAATGGATATCTTAAAACTTTTGGTGACATTTTACATCTAAAGAAATTGAATACTTGAATTTAGTATGTTGATAATGCCATTGCATGCCAATACAATTTTGTTTCTAAAAAGCTATTGTTTCTAAAAAGCTAAAATATAACAAATCAAATGCATTTAGACTAAATGACATGTTAGACTAATTCAATTTGATGATTTCTATCATCTCCTTGAATTTAAAATACTTCTCATAAGAATTTGGTCAAAACATCTACAACCATGTCTTTAGTCTTAAAAAAACTAAGTTGATCTTGCCATTTTCAATCTTCTCACAAACAAACTGATGTTAAATTTCAATAAGCTTAGTATAAGTTTGGAATGTAGATTTTATTGAAAGAAAAATATAACTTTGATTATTACTAAAAATAATCATAAGATAGTCTTGTGATAATCTGACACCTTTAAATAACTTGTGAAGCCAAACTACTTCTTTTGTCACATAAGTTGTTGCCACATATTCTACTTTGATGGTAGACAAGGCAATTATAGATTGCTTACTATTGTTTCAACTAACAACACCACTAGCCAAAAATATGCATAGCAAGTAGTAAAACATCAAGTATCAATATCTCTTGCATATTCTATATTGCAATAATCAACCACTTGCAAACTTAAAGTGCTTCTATCATATTGTAGTACATGATTTAATGTACTTTTTAAATATTAAAGATATAAAAAATAAGAAAAGATAGTTTTTATAAGACCATTTATATCAAAATGTACTAATTTTAAAAGTTTTGTTATATGAGTACTATCTTGTGTTGAAAAAACATCACAATGTTGTTTGCAATAAATACATCTTTTGCAAAACTCTAACTTTGTGTACTTAAATAGATCCAAATGCATAACCATATCATTTGTTTAAATTTTTTTTAAGCTGGAAATGCCAAGGTGACCAAAACATTAATGATGTAGATCTATCTTATTCAAACTTTGTTTTACCTCAAAAATAAGTGGTCTTCTTTTTTTTTTAGAAGAGTCTAATAACTTATATAAGTTGCTTGTTTTAATATCTTTGATGATAGTATAGTTGCACTTCATATAACAAGTATTTGCTTTGAAATAACTTCTTAACCTTAATCTATAATTTTGCTAATTAATAATAAGTTCTTGGCAAGTCCTTGTACATGCAAAATGTCATTTATATCTTTTCAAATGTTGATTGGAAACTCGAAAGAAATCTTATTCTTTTCTTTGATGGCAACTCTTGTATCATTTCTTAAATAAACTTTAGGGCTAAATGGAAGATTTTTATAATTTAAAAACCATCTTTGATTACCTATCATGTGCTTACAAGCACTTGAGTCAGTATACCATACTTTATTATTCATAGTAACATACAATGCAACTACAAACACTAATTCATCCTTTACACTAGAATTCTTTTGTCTAATGTATTAGCTTGTTGCTTTTGGAAAGTCTTCTTCAACTTCCCTAACTTTTTATGTTTTTCTTTGATCCAACACTTCTTTTATAGTAATCTTTCTTGCTATAATACTTATATTTAGCATTCTTCTTGTAATCATGCAAATATCTATTGTCCTTATGATTATGAAAATGATGCTTAGATTTGTTATTGGCCACCAATGTCGCCTTTGAGATTGATTTTGCATCTGTCATAATACTCTTATTGCAATAATTGAATAGTGACTATTTATAATATCAATTCAATTGAAGGTCTTGTTTCCAATGTCACTATTAATGTATGGTGTCATGCACTAGCACAAACATAGTGTGTTTATATAATTGAGAGTTTGTTATAGAAGAGCCTAGTAAAAAGATACAGTAGCAAAACAAGGATAAATCATAAGAAGGTAGCAAAACATTTTAGTCTTAATACTACCTTTTTTTTTTAGAAGAAACTTCTACTTATTTTGTAAGAATATAAATAAGCCAAATCAAAGTAGATGAGATAATTAATTAATATATTCGTATTTAGAAGAAAATTAAAAATAGGATTTAGAAAAAATTACCTCAAAATACTAAGAATTGATACCCAAAGAAGACTGGTTGTTAACCAAGATTAGAATCAGATCTTAAGACACAAAACCATGCATTAATGGCAATTCTACGATTTTTTGGTTGATTAGAGAGTAAGATTTAAGAATAAACTAATGAAGGATTTTTTGAGAGTTTGTTTCATATAATTTGGAGACATATTGAGTTTTTGAGAGCTTTTCAAAATAAAAGATTTTCTTAATGGTTTTGGATTTTAAGAAATAAAAAAAATATCTACAATTTTGAATATTGTATGAGTATTTTAGTACATTTCGAAGTGAAAGTTTGTGCATTTTTCATTTTGCTTATCTTTAATGTGTTTAAAAAATGTGATATCAATCAAATAGTTAGATTAAAGGATATGAGTTTTATTGAATTAGGACCTTGGATTTTTGAAATTAAAATCGCTGAGGGTTTTTATGATCCTAAAATTCTTATTGGTTTTATTGAAGCAATCTAGAATTAGAAATCTACACAAAAACCAATTTATTAAGAAATTTAACAATTCAACAAGGAGAAATTGTTGCTGAAATATCAACATCCAAGTTGGAAAAAGAAGGGAGCTAACATTTGAGAAGATTAGGAGTTTCATTTATTTATTTATTTATTTATTGGATTTGATTTTTGTCAAATTTTGTATACTTATTACTTTATTGTAGATTGAAATGTGGGTGAAATTTAAATTGAAATTAATGCTTTGATTAGTATTTATTAAGACTTTAAAATAACTATAGGAATTGATTAGGATTTACTTTGAGAGTTTTTGAATTTATTCAAGTTTTATTAAGGATTTAATTAGGATTTGATTATAATTTGGATAGAATTAATTGAAGATTTGATTAGGATTTGTTTAGGATTGATTTAGAATTACATTAAGATTTGATTAGGATTGGTTTAGAATTTGATTAGGATTGATTAGGATTTGATTAGGATTGGTTTAGGATTATATTAAGATTTGGTTAGGATTTATTGAAGATTTTATTAAAATTTAATTAGGATTTATTTAAGATTTCTATTTTTAATATTTTTTAAAAAAATATTTGATATTTTTTTAGGATATTTTTTATTATGTACACTTTTTTAAGGTTAATTTGTAATTATTTTATATTTCTCTTGTAATTTCCTTGAAATTTCTTTTGGATGTAATTAAAGATGAATTAGAATTATTAAAATTTAATTAAAGTTTGTTTAAGATTCTATTAAAGTTGTTAGAACATTCTTCTTGCAAATTCTATTTTTCTTTCTATAACCAAGCTCACTTTATAATATACAATAATGGTATGATTTCCAAAAACTCTTCAATAATGCCATAATAAGATTTCTATCAAAAGTTTTTTGGTAATAGAAGAAAATTGATCAATTGTTAATTGTAGTTTGCCTACATAAATAACAATATTGTCACCATCACTCATTTATGAGGTCCAAAATCCACAAATCAAGTATAATAGGCTCAAAGTATTTTTTAACTTTGTATATTTTTTTTAGACCCTTCCATGTCACCTCAATACTCTTTACCTTATTTATGATTAGAAATTCCATATCTTTAAGATGTAGACGTATTTTAGACAATGCTTTCTTGTCTATATCATCCTATTTCTCTAATTCCACTAGATCTATGGATGACCTAGGAGGTTTCTTGTACTTTCCACGAACAACCTTCTATAAATCCTTATTGATAGGAATAAATTTGATTTTCTCCTTCCAAAGATGCCAATTGTCTCTATTAAATTTTTCTATTGTGGTACTCAATTGAGACATTATAATGTATATACCAAAAATAAAAAAGATATGAAAAATAAGAAAAGATCATAAAAGATGAATAGAATTGGGATCTAAGTGAAGATTAACATCCACTTATAGCCTTTTTATAGAAATTCTAAAAACATCTTAAAAAATAAAAAAAATAATTTGGATGCATGTAGTATTGTGCCATTGTTAGTATGTAACTGTAGTTTCAATTGTCTACATAAATAATCACATAATGTCTAATAAGAATTATACATGTATATAAACACTCTTATAACAATGCAAAAGAAAAAAAAAAAATTGAAAACTTAAATTTCTTCTATCATTTATTTAATTACAACTTCAATACTTTCTATACCCTTTACAAGTGTAGAATCATTCAATGATTAGAGTCACAAACTATAAAAGAGCTTCCATCTATATATATTTTGGATCTTTGAGCAATTTATCTTAAAATCTAATTGACTTTTTTTAGCAAGATCTATATGATTTGAGAAATTATATTTATTAAATAGAAGAAAATTACTCCACAAGACCCTTCTAAAAGCCATACAACTTACCAAATAAACATAAATTCTTTACTTCTAATTTTTTGATTTTTGGCAAGGATTTTAGAATATAACTAGGGCAAAAGAAGAATTCAATTTGAAGTGGCTGATTTGGCATAGAGAAGTAGATACAAATAAGCAAAGAAAAGAAAAGAAAAATGTAATTAAGAAAAAGTAACAATTATATGCTTTGCTTTTTGAAAGTAATAAAAATAATCTTTTACCAATTTTGGAAGTGGAAAACAATACAATAGATTTAGGAGTAATCTTCACTATTAATTTTGTTATAATTGGTTTATACAAGGGCTATGACAAACACTAACTTTCTACTAAGTAATCTTCTACAAAGAAACATGTAAATTGAAGTCATAAAGATCTTTTGGCATATGATTGTAATGACTTACTATTGAATATTTTAGAAGTAATAAAATATAAAAATCTTTAAAGAAAAAATATGGCATGACATAAAAATAGAAACAATAGTAATTTTTTTTGATAGAATATTAAAAAAAAAACTAATAAACTCAAGATAAAAGAAATATTTTGCTAACACCTTCACAAACACTTCTTTTTGAGAAGTTTGTAGAATCTTAGATCAAAGAAAACAACTAGATGCATCAATCTCAACACCATGGGATGGAATAGAACTTAACCACAAAGGGTGGATGTTCCCAACTCCTTTCAGACTTGAAACAATTTCTAAACACATTACTGTTTCTTGCATTATCAAGAGCAACACCCAGAATGACAATATTAGTAAAACTTCCAACATCTTTTCAACATTGTCCCAGTACTCTATTGTATCACATGTTGACTTGACACGAAAGTTTACTCAGAATATTTCACCACAAATCAACGTTGACTTGATACAAAAGTAAATACAAAATTTGTAGCTACAAAAAACCTGACGTTGACTTGTGTCGGTAGGATAAGCGCCACAATCTGCGTGCTATAACTAGCCAGTCTGTGTTGCTAATGCAGCCCAGCATGTACAGGATGCGCAACATGAATGAGTGCAGACTCGTACAGATTGAACATATGTAGAAAATTTGACGCTCATGGCGATGCGTTAGCCTGATCAAGACCATGAATTTGTAGTTCCTGAAATTGTTTACAATAATTCTGGTGTGGTGTGAGAATCACCGCACTTGGGTGTTCTGCTAAACATAGCTACAAATCAGCAAACCACTTGTAGTATTTGGCATCCAAGATAACTTGGTGAACCGAGGAGATGCATCCTAGAAACCCAACCACGCTGAACAAGATGACAATGCCCCAGTGGATCCAGAACCTGGGCGTCTGCCGCGAGGGGCCGAAGGTGAAGGAGTAGAAGATGAAGGGAAGGATGAAATCTAGTGGGGTGAAGCAGAATGCTCCCAAGACGCCGTTAATGTCGCCAAAGAAGGGCAGAGCAGCGGAGACGAAGGTGGCGAAGGCAACATACGAGGATCGCAGCAGGAAACGTGGCACCAAGTTGCGCATCGAATACTTGCCTTCCTTCACGTCGGAAGTCTGGCCTTCAAAGATCTCGAATGTGGGTTGCGAGTACACCTCCACCCACCATTTCATCCACATAACATTGTCAACGCCAAGCCATGGAAACTACAGACAGTATACAAATGAAAAAATGAGAGTGCTTGATCCTTGTTAGGCCAAGCAAGTAGAGCCTACTGCAGTGCCTGTTCAAGCAATTAGGATGCTATTTTGGCACGGCCACAACTTTGCAAGGTCTACTTCCAGATGCTGAGATTGAGGAGCTTACCAAAGCCACAGCAGTGAGTTGCGCAAGCGCAAATCCATTGGCCAAGAGGATAAGCCAGCTTGGGACTAGAGCGGGTCCATCAGTTGGAGCAAGGTTGGTCAGGACGTAGCCTGCAACTTGATTTCCGAAGGCCCAGTATCCAGATATGGCGACAGAGAAGAAAGTTGTGACCACCACTGTGTAGCAAACCAACAAGCCCTTGAACATTTTATTCTCGACCGGTGGAGCCAATGTTGCCTGAATACGTAGAAGATAAGAGAGAGGCATTAGCTTATCAATAGAAAGCCATATTCTCCAATAATTGGCGTCACCTGCGTCATGTCTACTATGACACTCAGATACGCTTAAGTAGCTTATGGGCAAGGCGGTTGATGTCTTCCGTAGATTATGAGGAAGCCGATGGAAATCCTAAACCGGCTTGCTCAAAAACTACTTGAACATCATCTAAACCTGGATAATGTTGTGAGCATTATTATCAAATATTTCTCTGGGAGCTCTATCAAAACTTACGAACTCATTTGACACAGCCTCGAGGAATTTGTTGACGTGAGATTATGAGTACCCCAATCCTCCTAGTAACAGGATTAAACCATGGAGTTCATTAATTTGATGACGGAAGCAGTGGGAGTTTACAAGATCGACTGTAATCTATCAAAGCTACGTTCCATTCAAATTTTAGAGATCGATTGTCTGAATAATGGATGGGTCACTCATACCTGAATCTCCGGAATAATTCCATTTCCAAATGTAGTAGCGATGATGGCAAGTGCTTCAAAGACGCCAAAAAGCTTGGAAGCAGGGGTGCCGGATATAGAGTAGTCTTTTGGTGGGGCATCAACAGAATTGCCTGCCAAAGATGGAACGGACCGATTCATTAAGCCAGAGGCGTAAAATCTCTACAGAGATTCATGTAGTATAACTGGCCACAGATGGAGAACGCAACTTCCCAAACCTCTTCTAAGACACCATCTTCTGTAAAAACAAGTTCCGATGCAGCTGTGACTGAAACTATTAACTCAATCACATATTTCAAAAGTTCGCTTCTTGAAGCACAGATAGAATGTGCTCGCACCTGCATAGATGCAACCTCCCACAACACACAGAGAGAAGCCCAAGCAACACATCAAAGATGCCAGGTTGATATAACGTAGCGAGTGAAAGGAAGGCAATTGAGCGAGCACCAACATGAAAATCCCGAAGATAGCAACGAATTCGGAGAGTTGTCTTGTGCTTTCCGGTTCAAGGATGCTATAAATCAACTGCAAAAAATGTTCACTAATGAGTTCTAGTTGGCAAGTACGAGTCACCTACAGGAGCTTGGTTTTCGTTCATTTTCTGGTTATTTACTGCGCTTTAGGGATTCCAGCTTGAATGTCCTGAAGTCGATTCCATTAGTAAAAGAAAGATATCCCCAATGGACATGGTACAGAGACTAGAAGATTCTTCACAGCTACTTTTCAGCGAGTGCTGATTGAGGATGGCTTGCATTCTTGAGAATTCATTTGCTTAAATTGAGAAGCGCAAGCTGCAACGATAACGTGTAATTTCTGTGTTGGAAACTACTCACCTTCATACTTTGGCCCCCAACGATGCAGCTACCGATGACCGTTCCGAAGCATACAAGAAACTGAATCCCGCCAATACCGTAGTAGCCCCATGGCCCTGCAAATTGCAAAGCAGACCACGATCACTTCATCGCGGTGACTCAAAGATGACCTTCCTGAGCGAGACGAAATCTACTGTTACTCTTAAACATTATTTCAGGTGAACCACACAGCTGTGAACAAATAATTTATCATTTCCTATAACAACAACAACCACATTCGTCATAATCTACAATTTGCACAAACTGATTCAACAGTACTTTGAGCAGGAAGGATATATACCTAGAACATGTGCTCCCAGATCACGGAATCGGAGAAACCGATGGCCCCGGCGTTCAGAATTCTCGAGAACTTGCGAGAGAATATTGTAGGCATAGAATGAAACACCTGCGCAGAGACCGAGTGCTAAAACTCCAGCCACCCACCCGAGTTCTCGTAGCGCAAAGGGTAAGGTAAGCAACGCAGGGGTGGCTATGGACACGGTCAAATGGAAGCCAGCGTGCTTCCAGTTTCCTGCTCCATCCAGTTCGCAACATTAAATCCCATAACGCAGACATTTCCAGGAGTATTCTCGTAAAAGCAGCAGGATCTTTCCATGCGTTTCATGTGGGAAAAGATCTAAACAAATTTTCGAAGATTTTATTTTATATTAATTCATTTATTTTTGGCTTCAGCAGCTCTAACCTTTGGATTCAAGAACAAAGAGCGCGCCCCCATCAACGTCTTTAGATGGCATTTGAGGACGTGAACTGAAAGCTTCCACCTCGGAAGAGCCCTCCAATCTCGTATAACCTTGATGCCCATTCATTGTGAAACGGTGAGAAGCAAAAAGCCGCCGGGTTAAAATATCCTCGTGCACAACCTGCGCAAGCTTCACAAACACAACGAGAGGTTCACAGCGGTAGCGGTCCGATCCCGAATTCACCAGACGAAGGGGGATCCGCAGCTCGGTCGAATCGCTGGAGCTTTCCCGCTCCAGGGCACCTTGAAACGCTACATGAGCCACAGCGTCTCCGAGTCTCGATCAACCAACTAAGCTTCGATCCAGGATCAACAATCGGCTGAGACAAGCCCGAGAAACCGAGCGCTGTCCTCCAACTCCGCCTGATGGCAACCCTCGAGGTGGAGATGGCGTCTACGCAAGCATTGCGACAGAGATTCCTTGCTCCACTGATCGGGCAGGCATGGCATGAATCACCTGCGCAGAGAGTGCTAAAACTTTCTGCTGTTTTCCAGGATTGGCTCTGTTCCGTTCAGCGTGGGGTGCCCGTTTGTGGCAGCTCGTGACCCCAAAACCTCATGACGTCGTCGCCGACGTGGGAACCGTTGCCTTCATTGCCGTCGATACAACACTAGATCCTGGCTTCTTCTTGTTGAAGGGTCTTGAGACTATGGCCTTGTCTTATGCCCACAAGTGTGTCTGATTGGATGGAGATTATTATTATGATCATTGTTATTTTTTGACACAAGTGGAGTATTTGCAATGTGTTGATTGAATTAGTTATATGGTTTCTATGGTTCTTATATCTTGTCAAATAAAGTAGATTTAAGAACATTGACCTACACAATCCCATTCTTTTTTATATTATTATAATTGATACTATAAAATTGTCTTTGTAAAGTGGAATTTTAGGCCAACATGTAGAAATTTTTATTTTTTCTCAAAGCTCTTTTTTTTCAATCATATTTTTAGTCATCCATATTTTGTTTCATTTGAAAAAAAAATCTTGTTCTTATGTGGTTACTTGTTTATTTTTATGCATATAATCTTTTGTATTACACAATTATATTCCTAGAGTTTTATTTATGATTTTTTATTATTTATTTATTTTTTAATATATAGTATCACTCAAACTTTTTATATTAAAAATAACAAAATAAAAGCAATTATTTGAGTGTTTATGTCAAAGACATAAACCACAAACAATCAAAACATTAATAGACTCTTATGTCACTCAAAAAGAATAGATATTCATTCAAAGATAGTATAATATTAAAACTAGAATGGCTATTGCCAAAGACAAGACTAGAGACTATTGAAACTAGACCAAGAACATGAAAGGTATTGATAAGAGTAAGGAAGACCTCATTCTTGCCTCCATATATACTATCTAATTAAGAACTATGTAGTGACGTTCTATAGGACTTCTAATATATCTTTAATTTGCAAGATACATATCTAACTTGTAAGATAAATTTCTTACATTGTTGGAACCTATTACAAATGCACATAGATTAAACTTACATCAATACAATTTAGAAAAACACACAAAAAATCCAATTTCGCTACAAAAAACATACTTTGTATGGCACAACAATATCTATTTTAAGTCCAGACAAAAAATTCACTTACTAATTCTACTACATGCTATGAATGGACTTCAAACTACCTATACCAATCTAAAAGGGCATTGCTTCTGCATCCATGTAAAAAAAAAAATAAATACTAAATTTAATAGCTTATTTTGTTCACTCAATATATTAAAAAAATATTTAAAAAGTATTGAAAAAAAGTATTAAGTGATCATTTACTCTTTTTTAGTGATATCAATAAGGTATATGAGTTTCCTAAAAATATATCCTAAATTAATTATCACTGAAAAGATAACTTTGAAGAATTTATACTAAAATTCATATAATATTATCTACATAGAAATTATTATTTTTTCTTGGTTATTTATGCTAAAATAGTTTCAAATAAATTTTGAATGTAAATTGGTAGTTCAACATTAATAAAAGTTTCTATTTAATTATTAAAAACAAATTGGCGTGTTTAAATTTTCTTTCAACAAATTCTTGGCACCTCTTATAATGAATATATACTAAGTATCTTCTAAGATTTTTTTAGAATATTATAGGATCTTATAGAATTCCAAACCATCGATTTTAGATCTTTAAAAAACTCAAAACTTATTAAAACACATCATAAAATTATAAATATTCTATTTAGTACAAAATTTAGAGCAAACAAAGCATTGTATTATTTCTAATTAAGTCTTGTTTTGATTAGAATTTTTTTTTCTTTAAAACCTCTTAATGTCTTAATAAAATAATAGCTATAATCATTAGTAATAGTCTTTATAAAAAATTAACATATATTTGTCAAAAAGTAATGTTTTAAATTTTTGAGATATTTTGACAAATCATATGTAAGTCAAATAAAGTATTTTAAGATATATGAATATGACTATATAGATATATATATAGATATATATATATATATATATATATATATATATATATATATATATATATATATATTACTTTATAAAATCAAATTTTACAATTATTTTTCTTTTATACTAATTTAAGTGTAAAATTATCTACTTTATATGTCTTAGAAAGTTCTAAGACATATATTTTGATACCTTCTTAACTATAAAATTCATATTTTATTAATTTTCTTTATTCTTTTTAGTTGAACATAAATATATTATTTTTTAATTAATTTGTCTAAATTTATGTTAATATATTATTTGTTAATACATTTATTATCTATATTTATGTCCTTTACTAAACTAAACATCTTTTTGAAGAGCATATAGTGGTATAATAAATAAATTTGAAAAAAATATATGCGTAGTAATTTATACCTATATATGTATAATTTGTACACATTAATTTTATTATTTTCTTATTTAATATTTAAAATATAAAAGCTAATGCTTATATTGGTTAAGTTTGAAGAATTAAAAAAAATTCACTGTATACATAAATATAATTATAAGGTACAAATTTAATAGCATGTGTGTAAAACTTATATAATATATTAAAATCAAATTCAAAGATAGATAAGAAATAAATTTTGATATTTTTTTAATTATGTACTGTAAATAAATATGATCAATTGGTATTATAACTATTTATCAAAGCACCCATTTTATTTTTTAAATATTTTTTAAAATAATTTATATATAAAATTTATTTTTCCATAAATTAAAATAAAATTTTACTAAATATATTCATAAAATAATAAAAACATGTTAAAAAATAAATTTCAGATTTAATCTTGATTAATTATATAATTAAATTCATTAATTTTTGAGTTAGAATATCATTGAACTTATAATATGTAATAATAGATGTGTTATGATAGAATATATTAAAGTTTGTAATATAAACTATTTTTAGTATAAAATATATATCAAAAATAAAATAAAATATTTTTGAATATAAAAAATGAATAAAAAATTGCTTAACATCAAAGAAAGATGAGTTAATTTTGTGTTGATAAAAAATATCTTAATCTTGTGAGTATATTCCTTAAAATATTTATTAAAGCACATCAAGAGTATTATTTCTTTAGTTTAATTTTTTTATTGGCTTGAAAATTCAATATTATTTTATATACATATTTATTTCGTAAAATGATATTTCATTTATGCCATCTTTTTTATAATACAGAATGATTTTTATTAAAAAAATTACTCTATATTATTTATGAAATAATAAAAGCTTTAATAAATCAAGTAATATTTTAAAATTATATAACTATTTTAAAATAGGAAATAAATAAATTTTATAAAAAATACATAAAACATTAAAATAGAAATTAATTTAGATACAAGAGTAATAACAAAAAAAAAGAAAACTTAAATTTTTCCAAAATTTATGTTTGGAAGACTAAAGTATTCACACTCTTACTTTTTTATTCATGTTCTAAAAACTAAATCCTACAACAGCTTTTAGGAGAAATTCTAAGAATTATAAAATATCATAAATTTTTATAATATCTTATATAAAAATATTTGAAAGATTATTGGAGATCCTATATAATTATGCAAGTTTATGAAATTTTTTAAAAATTATTTATAAAAATATTATTAAATTTCTGATTAAAAAAATATTTATAGATTTTTTAAAGTCTAAAAATAATATAAATATCTAAAAAATTTAAGAATTTATCATAAAATATCTAAGATTGTAGTTAATCATATATTTATAACATTGATATCTAAAAGTTATAATAAAAGATTAATAAGACTAGATAAAAATAAATAGAAGAAAGGTTATAAAACACTTTATTTATTTTATAAATTATAAAAATAATATTATTAGAATGTATAAACCAATAGTTATAGATTTCTAAATGATTTAAGAATAGAATAATATAATAAAGATTAAAGATTTAAGATTTTAAAACAAACTTATTTCACTTGATTCTTAAAAATATAAAAATTATATATATATATATATATATATATATATATATATATATTAGAAGAGCTTGATGTAGAACTTGTATAAGAAGTATTTCACATTCTTCACAATCTACTTATAAATTTTAGTTTGTCAATCTTCTAAATAAAAAAAAAAATAGAAAAAATATTTGATGTATTATATTGATATAGCATTAGAATTGTCCTTTGTTATCACAAAAAATAAGCCAATTAAATCCGTTGTTGTATTATGTGAAGTCTTGCTTGAGAATATTGAAGAAAAAGAATTTTGAAGTCACCAACACATAGCATCAATAAGAGTGCTTACGAAGAGAGTATGAAATAAGATATTTCTTACTTCCAACATCCATTACTTATAGGTGATGGTTGTTGCTCTAATAGACAACTTCCATCCTTTGATGACTACATCCATTCAACAATCTATCTAGAATCTCTATAGATATCTTATCTATTATAAGAATATATTTTTAATATATTCTTTATATCTTTAAGATCCATTATCTATTCATCTGCTTTATCTCTTGGCCTTCTTACATATCAAAAGCCAATCCTTTAACTAACAGTAATTTATCTAAAGTAAAATCTTCTATAATATAACTTATTTTAATTTCACCTTTACTTACTTATTTTAACACTCTTACTTTGCTATCAGTCAAAGGCTTTCAATTCCAATGCCTTTTTCAACATATGATGTCTATTTTTTTATTAATGCTTTTATCAATAAATTAGCAAGTATGTCTTTTGTTGCAAAATACTTCATATCAATCACTCCCATTTCAATCTTTTCACTTATGAAGTAATGTTGAATGTCAATATCTTTGGTCATTGAATGATACTTTGAATTCTTTGTAAATGCAAGACATCTTTGATTGTCACATTCTATTGAAGTTGCTTCCATTTGTATTACTCCAATGTCCTCCAAAAGTTGTCTTAGCCATATTACTTCTATTGCTTGTTGCCATATACTTTGCTTCTATTATTGATCTTATAATTGTTGGTTGTTTCTTGCAATTCTATGAAATAACTCCCACTCCAACAACAAAAAACATATCTCACTATTGACCTTCTATTATTTATATCTCTAGCCCAATCTTTATC